CTTTATTTAAAAGTATAACCTTTTCCCTTTTTATCCTGCTTTTTGGTGTTAAACTGCTCCATATTTTATGAAATAATGATGGTAGAGAGTAATATTTATAATGTTTTTGCACAATATAAATGCAATACCATTTTTAAAAAAGAAATTTTTAGGTTTTTAAAATCCAAAAGTTCTGAAATATTGTTATAGAAATGGCTGCTTAAAAGGAAATTCAATTTTATGAACTTAGTGTTGGTCACAGAAGTGTATTAGAGGCCAAATTACAAAGTGTTAATTGGAGGATAAGTATGTTAATCAGCTTTTTGTCACTATTACTCAGGCTTATCTCATCATCTCAGATACTGTTACATGGTATTTGAGATAATGAACCTACGAGAGGAAATGTTTTGGTGCTCAGTTTTGGAAGTTCTAAGCTTACGACTGATTGTTCCCATTGTTATGGGCCTGTGGATAGAAAGCATATCATGATGGGAGTGTCTGGTGGAACGACCTTTTTTACACCACGAACCAAAGAACAAAAGAGAAAGACAATTGGGTAGGGATCCCACAGTCCCATTTAAGACATGGCCCAGTGACCTAAAGACCTCCCACTAGAGTTCACCTCTCAAACCCTTTATCACCTCCTAAAAGCATCATCCAGGGAACCAAACTTTCAGTATTTGAAACTAAAGGGGATATTCAAGATCCAAAATACAGCAGTCCATTTTTTCAGTGTAGGAACATCACAGAGCAGAGACACTTTCAAATTGCAATGTACAAAAGACCATCTAGGATCTGTTAAAATGTAAATTCTAACTCTGCAGATAAGGAGCAGCCTGGATTGGTGTATTTTCAACCAAGTCAGAGTGGTTAAGCTGGTTGTTCTGACACCAGATCACTTGAGTTCAGTACCAGGATACAGCAATTCTAGATGCGGCCCATGAGAAAGCTGTATGACCTGTATCTGTTAGCTTTCTCATTACTAACAAAGTAATAACAGTAGGCTTGTTGTGACAATAAAAGAAAGTAGTTATTATAAATATTCTCAGAATGCAAAGTATAATACCTGACACATAGAAAGAGCTCCATAGGATGAGTTATTACTTTAACTTTACAGATCAGTGACTATAGCACCAAGATATTAAAAAAGATTAGCACCTGAAGGAATTTGTTCCTGTATAATGAAGTAAGAATTGAAAGTTCCAGTTGGTAAGGGCTAAGCCATTCTGTTTTCTTTGACTATTTGAATAGAATTATTTGAAGCTATGACTCTTGAAGAATACATATAGACCTGCTCTAATCAGAAAGTAGGAGGTTTTTATTACCAAACTCCCATGACTAAAGTTGAAATAATAGTATTGGTTTTGGTTGTATGGCACAAAGTCATCAATAATTTATTTTTCTGTAAGTACCAAGAAACATATGATTAGTACATTGCTGAACTTCTAAATTTTCTTAGAAATATTTACAATTGTTATTTTTCTATTCTTGCTAGAATATTATTAATCTCTTGTTACTTTTTATGGACTGCTGAACAATTGGTTGGATAGTAGTGTGTATTGCCTAATATGCAAATATGAGCCCAATCTTATATCTTTCCTTGTAGAACTCCTACTATTTTTATAGTGAGTGGCTTTGTGCAGCCATTTTTAAAAATTTACAAGGAAAAAGCATCTAGGCATAAAATTATGTGAATTTGTATTTTTATCTTCAGCTTATACCTTTTGTATCAGTGATTTGGCTTTTAATATGAATGCAAATACAAGAATAAACAATAACTGGTTGGATAAAACTTGTGAACAATTGATCTGTTGGTTATAGAGCTAAGGACTAATATAAATAACTGTTAAGCTTTATATAATAAAAATAAGTTATTTCATGTAGCACATTTAAATGAATACCAGCTATGTCCTGAAGTCTTGAAAGACATTGACTGATATGTAAAAGTTAACTGTTTCCTGAATCATTGAATACCATTTTATCTTAATTGTTACACAGTATTGTTAGAAATTCACCCATCTAGTGACTTGAAAACAAGAAGCTCTTGAACATTTTATTAAAGCAGAAAGAATTTATAAAAAAGACTTATTAGATGCATTAGAAATTACCATGCCATGTGATAAATATTTACATATCTCCAAGGCTTTTTCCTGGTTCCTACTTTTCTACTTAATTTTTCTAGTCTTTAACCCCATCTAGTCTTTTTTATACTCTTACAGCTGACTGTGCCCCACATATTTGGCAAGCATTTTATATAATTCACAACACCTTCCAAATAGTAAGTACTCCACGGGAGAGATATTGTTCAATATTCATTCTCTCTGTCCTTAGTAGTACAGGCTCTGAAGGTTAGGGTTGTTTGGGAGATCATATTTCTTAGCCACTGAGACAAAATAGCTGATACCCAAAGTTAGGGAAGGAAATGTTTATTTCTTACAGTTCTTAGAGGTTTCAGTCCATACTGAGGTGGCTCCCAGGCAGGGTGGCACGGTGGAGCCACAGTTCATAGAAGCCACAAACTGCAAGGTGCCAATAGGAAAGAGAGAAGCAGCCTTGTTCCTGCCAATACATGGTACCCTGGCTCCGCCCCCGGGCGGGTGAAACACTCATACTACCAATCTGAGCACTAAACAACGAACCAATCACAAATGCTAGATTTGGTCAAGCCTATAATTCATGAGGCTTGGGGGCCACTAACATAAACTATGACCAACTCTGTCAGGAGAAACCAACCATCTTGAGTCCTGAGATCACAGTAACTCTTAAAAGAACAAAATGTAGCCTAGCAACCTGATGATAAGACTGTACCAGCTTTTTACTATGCACACCTAACATGAGAGTCATAAACTTTTAGATTCTTTCAGTTACTTATATTTTGGATTTTCTACCTGTCATTTGCAGCTAAATCTAACCTATACACCCTTAAATATTTTAGATAATCTCATTAACATTATTCCTTGTTCTCTCTCACCCATCTTTCCTTAAAGCTACTCTAGGATGTAAGAAAAAGGGGCAAACACACTGATACCCAAGAACATCAAAAAACATTAAATTCAGAACAAGAAGAGTTAATGAAGCTACAATTCTTTTCTATTCCCAGTAGCTTTGGTTTATTAAGAGACATTCTAGGTAAACTTTCAAAGTTAACTCCCAAGATAATTGAGCAAAAGCTAGGGCAGATGTCTATGCTAAGTTTCGGTCTCAAAATAATTACCTTTGTTAATTATCAGCAATTAGTGTCAGCATCCAACACTTTCCTTAAAAACTCAGGGAGAAAGGAGGAGGGGAGAGTGAGGAGGTGAGGGGGAAGAGAGAATGAACCCTGAGTTTTATGAACAATTGGATACTTTCTTTCAGTTAATGCAAATCTTTTGTTTCTATCTAATCCTAATATGAAGATTTTATTACATCATATCTTATTGTTTTTTCTTTTTTTTTTTTAATTTTTTTTTTTTTTTGGTCTTTTTTTTTTGTTGTTGTTTTTTTTTTGTTTTTATCGGTACCAGGGATTGAACTCACGACTGCCTGCTTGCAAGGCAGGCGCTTATGCCGCTGAGCTAAATCCCCAGCCCCTTATTGTTTTTTCTTTTCTCAATGCCAAAATGATTATTTTTCTCTGTCTTTCAAATTATAACTCTCTTCTATTGGCCAAAAAATTAGCTAAAAATGGCTCTGGAAGATGTATGAAAGTGTGAGCATCACGTACTGTCTCTCCTTAGCATCATGTCTTTGGGCAGAGTCTGCTGGACTCTCACTCATAGAAAAGAAAAGGCATTTCTCAGAGGTTGGGGGAGAGCCCAGATCTCTCAGCACTTATCCCAACACTGAGAAGTTTACCTAGTGAGTTACATTTCTCTTATGTGTGTAGGTGACATTTTAAGAGAGCAGAAATATTTATAGATGTATCTATTTGTGCACTACCTCATCACTTTGTATCTATTCAAGCGTCTTTTTCTGTGCTTGGTTTCTTTTTTAAATATTTAGGGAGAGCATTATCTGGTATTTTCCATTAATAATTCATCATAGATTTAGTCATTTTTCACATGCAAATAACAATGGAAAAATACTTTATAAGCCTTCACTATCACGTGTCACATTGATTTCTGTCCCCCCACCTTGGTGAATCAATCACTCCTTTTAAGTCATCTTTATTTAAATGCTTACTGACTTGGTCCTCATCACATTGTTAGAGGAAAGGAACTATGCCTTAACTCATTTTTTAATGTTTTCAATGCCTAAGAGGTGAACTGTGCTTTTGTAATTAATGAAACCCACTGTTACCAATATTGCCAGGGTACTGGGATTTCTAGTCACACATCTTAATTCTATATATGTTCAGTCAGTCAGAAGATGGAATATATTTTGTCATGACTTATGTTCTAGTGGCGATTCTTAAGTTTATTTTAGTCCTCAGGATATTCTTAAAAATGCTGATGACAAATTGCTTATAGATGAAAAATAATTGTTCATAAGCCTCACTAGAATGGAAAAGAAAGTGAAATTTTTCAATAAAGTAAAATGCTGTCATTTTATTTTAATAAATATAACATATAAAAGCATTAGCCATGCTAAAAAGAAGTGAGGATGGGTGTTTACTCATGAAGAGGAAATGCCAAAAGGAACAATTCATATACTCATTAACTACTTATTTCTAAAGCATCTATGGTTTTCTCAACAACATTGTACTAAAACTTTATGGCTTTATATATAGGTGTACAATCAAATTACAAAACCAACTGCATTTTTATACATGTTGCTATTCACTACTGAGTTTATTAACAGAGAAAAAGCAAGAGGTATACTTTCTGGGTTCTTTCTGGATGTCAAGTGCACACAAGGGTACTAATTTGCAAACATAGCTTACTTATTTTATGTATGTTAGGAACAGCATAACTTTGATATTAAATATTTTCACCCTATGATCACTGTTCATTATGGTACAATCAGAACCACTCAATGTAATCACAACTTTCCATTTCAAACCTTCATGTCACCAATCTATATTTTCCTTAACCCCATACCTCAAGTGCTGTTCTGAACTGTCCAGCTGCCACAGCATATTTCTTTTGTCTATAGCAGGATCTGGCATCCTTTAAGGCTACCTGAAGCCATTTGTCAACCTGAGGCAGAGAGCTGAAATTAGGTCCACTCAATGGGTCCACTATTTCAGCAGCTGGGCAGGTTGGCTGAGTCCCAGCGGGCTCGAAGGACTCTGCAAACTCATACCTCACGTCCTCTTCATCAATGTAGACCAACTTCATTTCCACATCCATTATGTTCTTTAGAGGAATGTGAGGCAGAGGCATGGTGATTAATTGATTTTCCAGCTCTAGCATCTTTGCCTCCTTCTTTACGGCTGGTTTTCCTTCACCTTCTGCCTTCCGTTTAAAGACCACTTTCTCTAAATCATTGTTTTGTTTTTCTTTGATGATCTTTGCCATTTTTATTCTTTCAGTAGGGATTTCTACTTGTTTGTCTCCATTTTTCTTAATCTCTGACGGCACCTCGAGGCTGGTAGGTGAATTCACTAAGGTGGACATTTTCTTGCTTGTTTTTATCTTTGGAACAAGTTGGTCATGACAAACTCTCTTTATTGTATTCTCCAAATTCTTATTGCTTCCTGACTCCATTGACCACACCCGAAACCCCTGTAGAGACGAGAAGAAGCAAAATGATTAAAACAATATTTTTGAAATTCTAATGGTTTATCCTATAGTCAATTTCATTTGCAATGCTATTCTGTTTATTATTTATCACCTTGAAATAAAACTTACATAAACTACTGACTGTTTTATTGGGAGAATATATGTTTTTATCTCAAAACTCACCAAGATAAAAACTTGTTCAAAACATATCTAGACATTGTTTTAAAAAATAACCTACAGCTGCACAACATTGAATGCACATTTTTATGAGATGCCCAAAGTTACTGGACAGGAAAATCTCGTACATAGCCATGGAGGACAAAAAAGTAATACAACCTCTCCAAAGTCCATCTCTATACTAATTTCCTCAGAAAGGCAGGTGGTCTAGAACTCATTATAAACTATGCTACTAACCTGCATAATAGACTTGGACGGCTAAAGAAATCACAGCTGTTTCTTCAAAAAGCTTTCAGAAATGTGAGCATAACGTTTCCTCAATTTGTTTCTTTCATTAATAATGAAAACCTAAGTTTAAATAGCTTCAAAGACTACTGTTTTTCAGAACAAACTTTAAAGCAGAAGCACATGATCCTTATCCTCTCAGCAATATGGAGATACGTAGTCGTCCTGAGTTTTTGTGTTAATATTTTTGTAGCTATTATTGCAATACCATGTATTATATGAAGATGAGGCATTTTCCTAAAGTACTAGTGCTCTCTAAGTACATCTCTTTTGATTCAAAGCTTTCTGCATGCTTACTGTTTGTAGATTTATTTTAAAATATAAAATGTGCTGAGATCTAATGATGATTCAGCATAGTTTTGTTTTTTGAGTGGGTCCCATACTTTTTATATTTCATACTTGGAAACAAATTTAGAATAAAATAAATAAATTCCACATTTTGCAAATAAACTAAGGGATAGAAAATTTGAGTGGGTTAACCAAGGTCACATTGTTGGTGACTTGCGAAAGCTATCCATTCAGATTGCTATTTTCTCCCTGGTACTGCTCTTCAGTGCCTGGCCTGAGGTAGCTCTTTTCCAGCAAGTTGCTTTTCAGGACAGAGAATAAGAGATTTATACTAGACCACAAAGAAACCAGAATATTTCCAGAAAGAATAACAAAGCATAATAACAAGATAACTATGAGATAAGAGCTAACGTTTTTATTTTTATTTACAAGAATAAATTGTTGTTTCTTATACCTTATTCTTTTGGTATCATTGTTGATTATTTTCATTTGTTTGCTTACAATAAACAAGTTTGTTTGTGGAAGATAGTTAAAACACAATAAACTGTGACCTAGTAGATCTCTAAGTAAAGGAAAGGAAAGGAAGAAACCAAGCATTACTAATGGCCCTGACCTTTGAAATGTTTACATTCTCCCAACCATTGTTCATGTGTGTCCTCAGAGAGAGGTAAACTTGATATGTGAATTTACCAAAACAACTAACTACTGTGAGAGTCTATAGAAAGATCAGTTTCTAATAACGCCAACAATAGTTACCTAGATATTACTTGGCAAAAGTTATACACTAGAATAATTATTTAATAATATGTTAATTATTTCCTCAATAATGTATACAGAAATGTTGTATTTCTATGGTGTGATAACAAAACATGATTTTTTCAGTGTCTTGTGCTCCTCAGTATAGGTGTGACTCAGGGCTTCACTGCATAGTTTTTTACTTTGAACAAGGGCCTGTCTCCTTTTCCTTTCTCAGAGTCATTGTTGGCATCAAATACACACTTTGGAGTCCTAATAAGACTGCTCAGGGAGGAGAGGCAAACTGCCTTGACCATCACTCTTGTCTTGTGTATGTTCTTTGCATGTGTGATTTGGATTGAGTAAACATTAGCTTCAGTTATTCAGTTTAGAGTTCTAGTGGACAGAAATCTGAGTATTTATCCATTCCAATAAGTTTCCTTCAGTAGAAGAAAAGGAGCTCTTGAAATCTGTTTAAAGCTCAGAATACCTGCCTTTAAGGAGTTCTGATTTATGTTCATTTTCATAACAGGTTAAGAAAATACGAACAGTAAAAGTTGGTGTTTGGATGGGTCCAAAAGTCTCCTGGCATCTCCCACTTATCTTACATAAATTCTATTTCTAGCACTAGAGGTTAAAAGGCATCAGAGTATCTGTAATTGGCTATTGTTAACTAACACTTTAAGCATCTGCAGCAGTGTTACCCATTTCTGCTGCATTTATTTCATGTCTCTAACATACAGATGTATAATGTTATTTTTCTATTTCTTTTAGAAAACCACAGTTGTCTCTCTTTCCCTCCCTTTCTTCCTTCCTCTGCTCATTTTGTCTCCAAATTCTGCCCACCCCAAATTCCCAGCTGTTCCTTTCCCTGTGGCTTCTTCTTTGCATAAGAAGGAAGGTTTTTGTTTTTAAGAGGTAGGGTTCTAGGTACCGTACTAAAACTATGCCCTTATTTTGATCTTCAGTGTCAGTTCATACAAGACACAATAACAGAAGGAAAAAGATAAACAAAATATAAGTAGAGAATTTGGAGGAACTAAATATGTAAGTAAATGTTTAGCTTTCAGACACCGGAAAATTCACTTACCCAAAATTAATAAAAAAATAATAATCTAATCATTCTATTACTAAATGAAGAATACCTATCAGAAAGTCTATCAGTGTCCTAAACGCATGGTGTGGAAAAGCACGGCCAAAAATCAACAACTATTTGACAGTGTTATTTGAAAATCAGATGGCTTTAATTTTAGGTTTAATGCATGTTCTTTATAAAAAAATGTTACATGATGAAAAATTGTATAACTGGTCATGTACAGCTTTTCTAAAAACTATAAAATTTCATTTAAATAATCTAGACTTTAAGGCCTTCCATCAGCTGGCTCAGTGCGTGTTTCCTTATCTAGCGCTTCTGTGAAGTTCCTCAAAGTTAAATCCCACTGCTTGCTAATTCCCAAAGGCACTCATTTTCAGCACACACGAGGCATGTCCCGTCCTCCTAGTTCCATCTCATTCCGTCTATTCACAGATAAGTTACCTACTTCTAGCTCCTCTGAATACTGACAGGATCTATGCCGCTTTTCACCTTACAGTTCTGCCAGAGGACTTTTTTCCAATCAGCTCTCTGAAAGCAGAAGTGTGCTTTACTTTTCTAAATATTAACTCAGTGTTTTCTATAGAGCAAGCATTCAATAGATGTTGACCAATATGAATGATGATAGAGACCACACATTCTCAGAGAAATAAGTGAAATTTTTTTCTAAGGATGCTACTAAAAAGTTGAAAAAGTTCTTTTCTGAGGGGTTTTGCTGAATTTTTTTTTGTTTTAAATTTGATCCTGGGTAAAGCATATTTTATTTTTTTATAGATCAAGTGAATCATGTACTAACTAGATTAAAACCGTCACCTTTTCCACTCCTTTTAGTATTCAATTTACTGATGTGATATTAATGTGGTATTATCATGATATTATTCATGTTCCTAAGACACTGAGCTACACTTTAATCATTACTTCAGTAAAAGTACTTTTAGAGAAAACTATAAGACAATCAATCGTGTTTGTCAAAGAAGTATTTGCTGATAATGTTCTGCAAAAATGCCCATTCTTTCATTCAGAGGAGAGCACTGTAGAATTGGTTTTTCTCACAGAGACAGGCCTAAAAAAATCTCCAGCAAGTACTGATATGAAACATTAAAACAATCTCCAAGGTTTTATAATGCATATAGATACAAAAAATAAAGAGAGGTTAATGTTCAATCATTTCCAGCAGGTAACTGTTTTTAAACTTATTTAGTAGATATTCAACATATTTGTTTCTTCAAGCACTGCATCAAGCTTTCTGCTCTATGTGGGAGTTTCTGTTGCTTCTGGGACATAACTAGTGGCTTATGTGGCTATTAGTAATACAAATTATTTATTAGATTTTCACTTGAAACAGGCAGTTCAAACATGGGCAATTCAGGGAAAGAAAATTCTTAAAAATATGCTCTCTGAAACATTCAGCATCCACAGTTGCTATGGTTTTCTTCCTTAAAAAAAAAAAAGATCTAATTTTAACTTGCTGTTAAATGTAACCAGAGACACATTATGAGAAAAAACACCTTTCTTGTTATTCTACCAGTATACCTTTATATTTTTAAAAACACATTTAAAAATCTTTTTTCAATCTAATAAACATTTATTGAGCACCTAAAGTGAGATCCAGATACTGCGCTAGGTAATGTGAGAGAAATTAAAGCAAGACAGGGTCTTTGGCTTATGGTGCTCCCTGCTGGGGTTGGAAGGTGGAGGATGGGTGAGGGTGACACACAGATAAATAACGTTACACGCTGCAGATGCTGTTTTCCTAGACTGTGAGCTGCTGGAGAGGTGGAAGGGCGTTCACACTCCATTTTCTACATGGCTGTATTGTTTCCTCAGAGCCGGCCTTCAGGAACACTTGCTATTATAGTGAACGCATGGCTACAGTGCTCTGGACTACTGAGTGGTATAGTAATGGACAGGCTTCTGTAGATACAGGGGACAGACACAGCTTCAAGATATTTAGGAGGGGCTTTTTAAAAAGGCAGAATAAGGTCCTTATGCAGGCTACTTCTCTTTTAGCCAAGTACCCATAAGAAATTAGGTGTCACTATAAAAAGGGAAATGTAAATTTGACTCATAGTGCTTGTTAAGAAATTTTTTATGCAAAATTTATTTTATTAAAAAATGATAACGGTTACTTACAATTTATAAATTATCTAACTAGGTTAACCTATTTGTTTCTCACAACTCTTTTGGGTAACTATTATTAGCTCTATTTTACTAATGCACAAACAAAGCATTTAAGAACCAAGAGAACTTATCATACCTAAGATTTAAACACACAACTTTTCAGTCAAATTCCATGATGTTTGGACTATAAAATAATAATTTCCCCTTCATTGCAACCCCAGTTGATGGAATTTGTACTCTTTTTCCTATAAAAACGATTTTTAAACATATTATAACCAAGCATTTAACTTTACTGGTGTTATTC